TGTCGGCGCGCGATGCCCGCGAGGCGGTGCACGCCTGGCGCGAGCGCCTGAGCCGAGAGCAGGTGCGCCAGGTGGAGGCCGCCTGCGCTCCAGCCATGCGTCTGCTCGCCTACCCTCGCAGCGGAGAGGAGGGCGACGCGGAGCCGCCCGGGGACGGGGACACGCCGCTGGACACGGAGGCCGAAGGCGCCACGTAGTCCCCCACTCCTACCCCCGGGGCGGATCCGGGTAAGGTGGCCCGGGGCAGGGCGGGGGTTGGGAGAGGTCTTCGGGGAGCCTGAATGGCCTGGGGTAGGCGAGGGTGAAGAGGGGAGGATGACATCCCGGATCCATCCTGTCAGATCGTGTCCAAGAGGATGAGAAAATCCTGCTGGTAGAATTTGGAAGAGTCATCCGGACCTCCAGCTGAGTCCCCTGCCTCCTCAGAGGAGGACCCTGAGACAGGAGAGGATTCTTAAGTGTGACTGAGGCGGAGCCCAAGTCTCCGCACTCCCAGTCCGCTCTATGAAGTAGGAGGTATCAGAGGGCCGAGGAGAGCAGAGAGGGTTTGAAGTAGTCCTAATGGACCTTGAGACTGGGAATTGATGTGAGGAGGATAGGATTTCAGGAACCATTTGAGGCGTTTGACTACGAAGTTCTCTTGATGCCAGTTTATCCTGTGAGGGAACTTTTTGCAGTGGTATTTGCTGGCACAGAGAAAACCAGAAGCGCAGTGGAAAGGTATTGACTCGAAGCCTATCTATCCCTAATCTTTCTATTTCATATTTTTTCTTCCTTCCTTCCTCTCTCCCTCCCTCCTTCCCTTCGTCCTCTTCCTCCCTCCTTCTTCTCCTCCTTCTCCTCCTCCTCTCTCCTTTCTTCTTCTTTCTTCTTCCTATTGGAGTCTGGCTCTGTTGTCCAGGCTGGAGTTCAGTGACAAGATCATCGCTCACTGCAGCCTCAAACTCCTGTGCCCAAGCAATCCTCCCATCTGGGCCTTCCAAGTTGCTGGGACCACAGGCACGCACCACCACAACCAGCTAATTTTTAATTTGTATTAGTGAAAGGACCTCACGATGTTTGCCTAGGCTGGCATATTTTTTTCCTCTTTCTTTTTTTTTTTCTTTTTCTTTTTTTGAGTTGGAGTCTCACCCCATCGCCCAGCAGGCTGGAGTGCAGTGGCACACTCAAGGCCACCCCAGCGTCGACCTGCTGGGCTCAGGCGATCCTTCCGCCTCAGCCTTCCAAGTAGCTGGAACTACAGGTGTGCGCTACCATGCCCAGATAATTTATTATTAAAATTATTTATTGTGGAGATGAAGTCTCACCAGTTTTCCCAACCTGTTCTTGAACCATGGGCTCAGGAAATCCCCTCACCTTGGCCTCCCAGAGTGCTGGGGTTATAGGCTGGAGCCACCACACCCAGCCTTTTCCTCTTTCTTATGTGCAGACTTCAAGGTCTTTCTCCTGAGTTACCAAGCATGCAGGCATAGTCAGGTGGGTTTTACAACACTTTTTGCACAATTTGTGTGTCTCAGGCGCTGGTGAATTGGATAATAGACTTTGTTTTCCTCTTGCCCATGTGCACACCCCTCTCCTTCACCTTCCTCCTCTCCCTTCCCCACCTCCAAGTGGCTGGCGTTTGCAGGATATTTGACCATATTCCGTTCACATCAGGTCACAAAAAGCTGCCTGGTCAGCTTCCTCTAGTCCGACAGGCCGTCAGGGCTGGGCTTCCCCCACTCCGCCCCATCCCTTTGAGAGATGGAGCCTTAGATTGGCAGTAGCAGTTTGTGACTACAGAAGCTTTGTGAAAAGCCCCTTTTTGGTTCTCTTTATGTAAAGTATATATCTGAAGTTACTAACGTGGGCTTAAATGATCTCAAAATGTGTTAAGTGTCCAGGTCAATGTATGGCCTGTAACACTGGGCTGAGGGAAGGTTTCTTTCTGCATGATGCTGACCATAGGAGTCTAGTTAGAGGCATGGGAATGTATTTCCCCAAACTTTGTGTGAGTTGGAAGGGTGCCACCTTCTGCACTGTGCAGTCAGTCCAGAGGAGGAGGAAAAGCAGTGCTGGGTGGGCGGAAGTGACTTAAGTTTCTATTCATTATTTTATAGTGTAATTCAGCATTCCCCTGGGATGAAGCTCCGAGGACAAAGGTTGATGATGTTAATGAAGACAGATTTTGTTGTTACAGAGCCAGGGTTTCAGAGTGATTTCGGAAGCTGGCTAATTTTTCTCTCAGTAATCAGCTGGTTTTCTTAGTCAGTTTCTGTAATTGCTAGGAAGTCTGTGTTCTTTCCTGATTTCCAGAGTGACGGAGGCACAGGGTGACTTGTCACATCTTAACAAAAACATCCTTTCATCTGCTAATCCTGTATTTACAGATGTAACAAAATGGTCCTTAACCCTCCTTCACAGGCCTAAGGGAACTCCTCCCCTGGGTGAATGCTGCAGCATTTGATGACTTTAAGACATGACAATTTCCCAGAAACTTTTTCTTTCTTTTTTTCATTTTTACTAACATTTTTCTTGAGTATTGACTGGGGTGAGGCAATAGAGAGAATAGAGAAGAGGATAGAGAACAGTCTTCACCCTCTAGGAAGTTAGAGTCTGTGCAGGTGACAGTGACTGTGGAGGAAGACACCAGCACTGCTGTTTGGAAGGCTGATGGAGTTTCCTTTGCAGAGCTGCAGGGACATCTGGGATCCAGCTTTAGACTCTTGCAGACTTTAGTGACTGAGTCCTTCCTCCCGCATTGGGCACACACCACCACCAAGTGGATTAAAATGCTTGTATTTCTGTTTCCTAGGAAGATAACGTTACTTACCCACTGATGGGTTTTCCAAGTTTGTCACACTCTAGAGAAGAGAGAAGAGAAGGGGATGGATGCTTACTGAACAGCTATGCTATGTACCATGCACTCAGTTAAGCATTGTACATATATTGTTATATATTGTTTTTCCAGATTAGAAATCTGAGACCCAGAGAAGTAATTTGCCCAAAGTTACATCTTAGGCTGCTGTGGGTGCAACAGTGTTCAGTGTTAGACTCCAGAGCTCTTAATTTCTCCATTATAACACACCTTACATAGCCCACCCTTGGCATCCCCTGACAGCACTCCTGGCACCCAATCAGGCTAGTGTGGGGCGGGAAATACACTTAATTTTGTCACTAATATGTCCCACTGAACAAATAAAATATCCCTGAGCTGCTGACAGCAACTACACAGGAAAGCTGATGACTATATACAGCCAGCTTCTCCACAGGGCATCTCAGCATGCCCTGGGCTTAGCAATGTACAGAGACTACAGTGAATTAAGCCGAGTAGCTTCTGGATGGACTATACCTGATAGCCAGGATTTGGTAGGAAGGGAGTCAGTGAGCTTTTGGGGGGGGGGACTGTAGCACCCCGAGCCAAGTCACCAAGGATTCGGGGCCTTGTTTTATCTTTTATATCTTCTTGGCTTTTGTTCACTAGCTTATCTTACCACTGCTACAAGATGGTAGCCACAGCTCCAGGCATCACATCCTCATACAACTACACAGGGTTGTTCAAATGCAGAAAGGAAGGAAACTGGTTAGCTGGTAAGAGGTGGAGGGGGTTTCCCTCATGCTATGCTTTTTTAATATGGTTGTAAAACCTTTCCCGGAACCCCCTACCCCAGCCAACTTCCCTTTATGTCTCATGGGCTAGAACTGAGTTACATGGCCTGTCCTAGCCCTATATTTGGTGAAAGGGAGTATCATGACTGGCTTAGACCAGCAATTTTTAGCCCTGGCTGAATATTACATACGATTGAGGAACTTTTTTTTTTTTTTTTGAGTTGTAATCTCACTCTGTCCCCCAGACTGGAATGCAGTGGCACGCTCATGGCCACCGCAGCCTCAGCCTGCTGGGCTCCCACGATCCTTCCACCTCAGCCTTCTGAGAAGCTGGAACTACAGGCGTGTGCTACCACGCCTGGCTAATTTTTGATTTATTGTAGAGACAAGGTCTTGCCAAGTTGCCCAGATGGGTCTTGAACCCCCAGGCTCAGGCAATCCACTTGCCTCAACCTCCCAAAGTGCTGGGATTACAGGCTGAGCCGCCGAGCCCAGTTAGGAACTTTTTTTTTTTAATGCCAATGCATGCTGAATGCAGTGGCTCATGCCTGTAATCCCAGTAATTTGAGCAGCCAAGGCAGGATTGCTTGAGGCTAGGAAGTTGGAGACTAGCTTGGGCAACATAACAAGACCCCATTTCTATTGAAAAAATATATAAAAATTAGTCAAGCGTGGTGGTGCACACCTATAGTCTTAGCTACTCATGAGTTGGTGGCTGCAGTGGGCTATGATTTTGCCACTGCACTTCAGCTTGTCTCTCTCTCTCTCTGTCTTTTATTTTATTTTTTGCGTTGGAGTCTCACTCTGCCCGCTCAGGCTATCCTTCTGCCTCAGCCTTCCAAGTAGCTGGAACTCAGGCATGGGCCACCATGCATGGCTAATTTTTTTTAATTGCTCATGTTGGTCTCAAATCCTCTCGCCTCGACCTTCCAAAGTGCTGGGATTACAGACTTGAACCACCAAGCTCCAAATTCTTGCCTCCTTTCTTGATTTCAGGCCCGGCCAAGCCTGTTTCTCTTTAAAAAAAAAAAAAAAAAAAAAAAAACCAATGACTGAGCTTCACGCCCAGAGATTCTGATTTAATTAGTTTAGAGTGGGATCCCCAGACCCAGGCATTGGGATGTTTGAAAGGCTTCCAACGTGATTGTACTGTACAGCTAAAACTGAGAACCACTAGCTCAGAGCAGTCATGATCATTGTCCCCTGGGCCAGGTGATCGCCACCAGGTGACTACCACAGGAGCAAAATCAGAATGAGGAATAAAGACAGCAAACTGCTGCCATAGTGATTTATGTGAAAGAATTTGGAGCTGTGAAATGCCAAGTAAATGTAGGCTGTTATTACGGAAAGGAGAAAATGTCTTAAATTACATATGGGCCCATTTATCACCCTCTCACGTGCCTTCAAATGCTTTGGTGTACAGACGTAGCTCATTCTCCAATACTTCACACTATCCACTACTGTTCAGAACAGACTAATGTGCTGTCCTATCCTTAACCTCTGCCCTTGGTAGGTCCCAAGATTTCTTCACTATAGGCATTTAAGGCAACTTTGTCTTTGTTCTTGACAAGGTATATGCATCCTTTGAAAGAAATCAAGAAAGGAGGCAAATGCCCTGTAATTTAAGTCCTAACAATCAG